CACACCTCTGCTCCCACTCCGACATCGACAATTACGCTCTTTACCTTCAAACCTTCTGCCTCGACTTGGCTAACATCTCTGTCCCCAAATCCCCAAACTCCCATCCTCCGAAGTGACACTGTCCATGGTGGAATGCGGAGATTGCTGATTTAATCCGTCAAGAACGACATGCCAGACGCCACCACTACCCCTGATGATGGAGATGAGGAGGATGGTTCTCTGTGCACAATTATACCCGTTAGTTGATGTTTATCGCCACACATCGCTATTATTTCATCCCTGGCTTGGTATTCACGTACGTACGGAGTCTGGTTCATCTGGTTAGCCTTGGTTTCTGCCCATGATTCAACATTATTAACCATTATACACCACAACGTACCGATTTGTTGTCTGGTATATGCTATACGAAGCCTGACAAAAGAAAAAGAGAAAGAGAAAGGAAGAACAACACCTTCTAGAGGGATATCGATATTCCTCTCACCTTGTTTGCTACCCGTCGCGCTGTTGCCCTGCAGCCCGCGTTTGCCTACTTCCGTCTGGTTGCATGTAAACGCTCATACGTCGCGATCTTTGTTTTGATCATACACTACAATTCGCTACCGCTGAGTGTTCGTGCTCTACTACGCGACTGTATATTTACCCTGATTCCCTGCCCACCCCTGATGTAGTTCGCACCCTCCTGGGACCACTATTGTTACGGGATTACATCATTACATCATTCCTACACATTACGTGCACTGCTTAACTAATAAAGCCTGCACGAGCCATGCCGGAGCAAGGATAAACTGTCTAGCAGTACTGACAGTAAACAGACGAGGTGATTAGGTAGTTAGTTAGTAAGCAGTTGGTAGCGAGCTGTCAGGAGCGTGGCTAGAATATATAGCTACTACTCCCACTTCTCGTAGTGAGGGATATACAGACAAGAAGGAATACAATAAGGATATATCTATTAAATCGCTATGAGCCTTGTATAACATTGCTTATAAAATCACTAGTGAGGTAAACACTATAACACCTAGTCACTGCTTATATATTTTAATCATACTTTCAGTTACCAGGAGCTATCTGAGTATATCTACAGAAGCAAACCTGTAACAAAAGCTGTATTTGACTGGGGACCGGGTTGATTTGGCGCGGTTATGCACCCATTTAGGAAGCTGAAAAGATCGCAGTCGCTCTTTGGGATGGCTCTGCAGGGTTGTCTCCTACCTGGTAGGGGAGGAGAGCTGGTCTGACACTGGGGACTGGTTCTCAGCCTGATGGATATAGCCACTATGTGGACCTAGGATTTGCACCCAGATTATCTGGTTATGAGCCAAAGGTGTTACTATTACACTAATCCACATTATATTTT